ACCAAACCTAATTCTAAAAAGTTGGAAAAACTACGGGAAGAATTGAGAAAATTAAATCAACAGTCCGCAAAAAGTCGTCTTGAATGTCCTAAGTTCCAAGCAATAAACAAGGAAATCAGAAATTGTGCAAAATGTATCGATAAAAAATCCAAAAAAGCCGTCAAAAGCATTCCGGCTCATCTGCAAAAAGTATTTTTAATTAATAAGCGGATCAAGTCGGAGATTTATTTGTTGGCCGAAGAAACCGTATGTTGATATAATAAAAAAGATTTAGTTGATTTTCTTCAAGACGAAAAGAAGAAAAGAATTCAACTTTACAAGGGGCAAAAATTAATTACTAGTCTGAATGCCTATCCGGTCGATACTCCGGTTCCTAAATAGGTAAAAAGTGCATTAATTACCCCCTAAGTTCCAAATTATAATAAGAAAAAGAAGGAAATTAAAAACTTTTATGAAGAAGAAGAACCAAGAGGGCTATCTTGCCCTCCAAGAAAAGTTAAAAAAATTGGAGGGCGATTATTCAGCCACCAAAGAAAGATTAAAAACGTATGGTTATAAAGATAGTTCGGAAAATGCTGACTGAACCGCCTTGAATGAAAAATTGATAATTTACCAGTCCCAAATTAATTTATTAAAGGCTAAAATATTGGAAGTAAGCCGAGAAGATGATAAAACTATTACTTATCAAATACAAGAGACGGGCGAGAAAAGGACTATCCAGTTGACTAACGGAGAGACTGACCCCGACCAAGGAAAAATTTCCCGAATTAGTCCGTTAGGAATGGCTCTCAGTAATAAAAACTTGGGCGAAATAGCCGAAGTTAAAATAGGAGAAAAAAAATATCACGTCCAAATAATTATTATTAAATAAATGGTTAAAATTGAAAATATAAGCATGCAGCAAAATTACATTATTAAAGTTGAAAATCTAACCAAGCATTATCAAAATAAAAAGGTTCTCGGTCCGATTAATTTTAACATTAAAAAAGGAGAAAAAGTGGCGATAATTGGAGCCAATGGTTCGGGCAAGACTACTTTGTGTGAAATAATTGCTAACCTTAAAAATCCCACTCATGGGAAAATAAAATATGGCTTTCCTTCGCAGAAATTAGGAAATTGGTTGAGTATCAATTTTCAAGAACAAAATTACCCGAGTACTTTAATTGTTCAAGATTTAATTAATTTTTACCATGAGGTCTACAAATCCAATCAAAAGCAATCAGAGTTATGAAAAACTTTTGCTATTTCACCCTTGCTAACCAAAAAAATTAGCAAACTTTCCGGCGGACAAAAACAAAGGTTAAATCTTTATCTTTCCCTTTTCTACCAACCGCAAATTTTTATTGGGGATGAAATTACTACTGGCTTAGATATCCAAACCAAAATTGAAGTAATTAATTTTCTCAAAAAGCAAACTAGCGAACGCGAAATGACTTTAATTTTAGTATCCCATCATTGAGATGAAATTATTTCGCTCTGCTCGCGGGTTATTCTTTTGAACAAAGGCTCATTAATCGATGATACCACTCCCGCTAAAATTGAAAAAAAATATAACTCTTTATTAAATTATTATCAAGCCAAAATTCAATTATAACCATGCTAACTATTTTAAAATTAATGTTTAATTATTGAAGACGTTCACCCGGTTGAATGTTTGGTTTCATTTTCCCTATTTTCTACCTTTTTCTTTTTCGGTTATTTATTCCTTTGCAATCTTATTTACCAATGCTCTTAATTTCCACCACCTTAGGCAG